GTGCTGCCGGGAGAAACATACAAGAAAGATACAAGAACAAAATGTGTACATGTCTAGAGCTGGGTGTATATGGCCTGTTAGGCTGATAAAGAGGGGGATGGAACCGAGAAAGGTGAACCCTGCGGCAGGCAGTGGAAGCTGCTAAACCAGCTGTCCAAAAATATCAAGCTCAGGTCTGCAGCCTGGATGCGAAGGGCCGACGCCTACAGGAGGCTCCCGAGCCTCACCTTCCCAACCTCGGAAGAGAAGGAGGAGATACAGAATGAGCTCACCCCGCTCACCCCACAAATGTGCACCGAGCACCTGCTAAGTGCCATGTGCTGTGCTGGGCACTGGGCATGATCGGTAAAGATGTAGGGCCTGCCCTCTACCGGGCGGCCCTGACGGTTGCTCACAACCCCTCTGCCTCCCAGTCCCGCCCACCTCTCCAGCTCCAGCTCTGGGAGAGTGTTGGCGTGTGCAACATTTGTTACCAACTGTACCACAAAGGGGAAAGTCTCCCAAGGCCCGAGGTCAAGCTGTTTTCATACTACCGCTACATTATTTATCTGTCCCTCCGGCGGCCTTCATGCAAAGGTTTCCCGAAGCTACATCACAGGCGATGGTCACAAATCGTGTCAAGGCAAGCACGAGAATCCAGTTGTCTTCTGTTAAGCCAGACATTTCAAGAAATTTGCAAGAACGTGAGACAATGCCACGCCTCGACCCGAATCTCTTTTGTTTGGAAAAAATAGTTACTTTGAGTAGAAAAATACGTTACTTAGGTTAATGTGAAATGAGGTTATCTTTACGTGAATAGGTATTTTCAAATATTGTCCCTTTTAACTTCTAGGGTGATGAATGTCAATATTAGAGATAGCCCATAAACACAGGTTCTTTGGTGTCCTCAACGATTTTTAAGGGCACAAAGGGGTTCCAAAAAGTTTGATGAACCACTGATGTACTAGTGTTGTCCAACGGGACCTTCTGGGATGATGAAGATTGTCTTTACCTGCGCTGGGAGCAACTAGCCAGACGTGGCTACTCAGTAAGCACTTCAAATGTGGCTAGTACCCCTGCGGCACTGAATTTCTGTTTTTATTTAATTTTAGTGGACTTACGCGTAAATAGCCACCCGTGTCGACACCAGACTGCACAGAGCTTCTCTACGTGATGTATGGTGTTTCTCCGTCCCCTGGGGTTCCCTTTATTTTCCCTACGCCGTATCTATCAGAGGCGTCTGGGCACAGAGGAGGGTCTCAGTGTTACTCCCGGGAGGAGCTGGGTCCACAGCCCTCTGCTCCCCCAGGGGACCTCTCCTCAATCTGGGGAAGGGTCTGCCATGCGGAGTCAAGCCAGCCAGCCCGCCAGTTTGGGCTCTGTGCTCATCCCTGACGTGCACAGTTTGGAAACGGGCCGGCAGCAGCTTACAATCAGCTGAGTAGGACCAACCAGCTCTTTTTAACAGCAGACCAGACAAAAGCCCAGAGAGGGCAAGTAATCTGCCGAAAGTCACACAGCAAGCGGGAAGCTTCACATCCACGCACAGAAAGCAAGGCCACGGGGGAGGGCTGGTGCTTCCTCCCTGCCAGACCAGGGGGAGCCATGCTGCCTGAGCCACCAGGCTGTGAGAGAGGCAGCAGAGGGCTGCACATCCAGTCACCGGACGGCTCAGGATTCGCCACAGCCTTCTACCCAGAGCATGGGCTGCGGGACCCAGGGAAGAAAAGAAAAGTATGGGACGGAAAGGCACTGGCCCCAGCCCCACCTGGCTCTGTGCCTCGGGCGTATCACTGCCCCGCTCTCATCCTCACTCTCCGGGGACAAAACCGAGCTGTGCCACCCCTTCTGGCTCATGTTCAAGGTCAGCATTGCTCAGGCTCCCAGACTTGCTCACCTCACCTCAAGTAAGGCAATCAGAAAGGCCGATGGGTCTGGGATCCACACATTTCCTGCCAGCCACCTGTGTGTAGGCAGGTGTCCCGTCGGGGCCTGGGGCTCAGAGCCCTCGCAGGGAATCCGGCTGCTGCAGTGAGCGCCGGCATCCGGCCAGAGTGTCCTCAGAATAAGTCTAGGGAGAGACACAGCGCGGCCCCTCCCAGCCACCCGGCCACTAGGCGCCAGATGGCTGCACGCTCCCCCAAATGAGCGTCCTCTGAAAGACTGGGTGGGAGTTTCTGCCCGTGTCTCCCACACTGGCCTGAATACGGGGCTACTGAATGAGGCCTCACACCTTTGCAATAACCGTTCAGAGCACGTGAACCGGCTGAAACAGAAACACGGAGCCTACCACCATTTCAAGTGCTCCTATCCACGGGCTGGGAGTTGCCAGTGTTTTAGGGAGCAGACAGTGGAGTGGGGGAGAGCCCATGGCTGCCACATACTGGCTGCGTGCCCTTGGACAAGTTACTTAACCTCTCTGAGCCTTAGTCTCCAAATCAGTAAAATGGGCTCATACCCACCTCTTAGAGTGCTTGTAAAAACGACATAAATCACAGGGCTTGGGACAAAGCGTACGAAACGTCAGTGACAGAGCCCAATTTCAGGAATGGCCTGTGCATAAACACAGGCTGCTGAGGGGCATTAACGCCGCGAATCTGGGAAACTAAGTGAAAAAGAACCCAAAGCAAGAGCAGTGGTTTGGTGCCCCCCACCCCGGACACGTGTCTGTCCTCTGGAGACTGACTCTATGACCCCATCACTAACGTGCAGGGCACGGCCTCAAAGGGGATGGGTTCCAGAGCAGGGCTTCCAGAAACAGTGTCCAGACCACCCGGAAGAGTGCAGACTCCAGAGTGCCATCCTGACCTACTGGCTCAGCAGTCCCCGGGGTGGTGGTTGGGTGGGGGGGCTGGATCTGTGGTTCAGCCAAGCCCTGTGGAGGTTCCCTGGCCAAGCCCTGGGGTCATGAACACTGCTCTGACTTCCTCCAGCAGAGGCATGGCCTTTGCCCCCCGGTTCACAAGAGCAAGCGGTTCCGTGTGCTGACCGCAATCTCCATCCCGCACGTGAGATGCCGGACGTGGCTGAGTCTTGGGTGCCAGCCAGCGTAGGGCCGGACCTGGATCAGGTCCCACCGGCTCCCGGTTCCAGACTCCCGAGGGGGAGTTTCCGAGCATCTCAATGCCACGCCTGACCCCGCACGGGGACCCTGCAGAGCTGGTTTGTTCTCACAACTTGGCATCCCGGGCTGGCCCGGCTCCGTGCGTGAGGGGGCACAGTCAGGAAGCGGTGGGGCAGCGGCGTGCTGGGCGGGCCCGTGCGGGCTTGTGAGGGTCAAAGACGCTCATCCCCTCCCCAGGCATCTTCGGTGGTGTCACTGTGGTAGCTGGAAATTGGCCATGGGAGCATTTACACCAGGGAAATCAGCAAATGCTATACACACTAGTGCTTGGTTTTGCTTTCTCAATCATTAAAAATGCTCAGCCCAGGGCCGCCTGCGTGGCTCAGTCAGTTGAGCGTCCAACTTCGGCTCAGGTCATGATCTCATGGTCCGTGAGTTCTAGCCCTGCAGTGGGCTCTGTGCTGACAGCTCAGAGCCTGGAGCCTGCTTCGGATTCTGTCTTCCTTTCTCTCTGCCTCTCCCCCACTTGTACTGTCTCTCTCTCTCTCTCTCTCTCTCTCTCTCAAAACTAAGTAAACATCAAAACAATTTTTTTTTTTAAATGCTCAGCCCAGACTTGGGGGTAGTGCATTTCCTTGGAAATAGGAGATCTGGCCAAGGGCCCTGACATTTGGAGGTTAGACAGTCCTGGCTTCAAAGCTTTGCTCTGCTGGTGAGATGCTGGGTGCCCTTGGGGAAGCTGCCAAACCTCTCTGTGCTTTGGCTTCCTGCTCTGTAAGATCGAGCTTCATCCCACAGAGGGGACTGTGTCAGTCAATGGAAGAGCGTCTATGAAGCCACTAGCACAAAGGCCGGCCCCCAAGAGGGGTGCCATCTGGGGAGGCCTCTGCCTCCCAGCTTCCTGCTCCTTCCCCTCAGACCCGCTGTGCCCCACGCCTGTGAGTGTAGCTGTCACATACTCACGTGGAAACGGCTGCCGGACCTCTCCTTTCAGGACCCCACGATGAGGTCCCCAGAGCACCCCCTGCGGCATCGGGTTGCACGGTAGGCGGTGCCTTTCTGACTAAGTCACTAGACTCACTTCTCGGACCTCTGAGCTCTCCCTGCCCCTCTTCGCCCCTGAGCTGTCCCCGCCCCTGCTTCCCAAAGGAGGCCTGAGCTGGGAAAACATTCCCAGCGCTTCAGCTTTTGCAGAAGAAATGGAAAAGAGAGCTTGGTGTGCGGATAACCCCAGAAAACCCAGGAATCCCACGTTCTGGGGAAGCCCTCCACATCACCCCGCTGTGCGGGGCCCCCACCCCCACCGTCAGTCTAGACCCACTTGGGACTCCCATCCCGGTGACCGGTGCCCTCCTAGGGTGCTCCCAGCCTGAGCCCGATGCTGACGGAGAGAAGGGACGCTCCGTCCTGTTCCCACCACACGTGCAATTTCCAGTCAAGAAAGGCAGGTCTGGTGTGTGGTGTTGGCTTAAAGACCCCTGGCCCGAGAGACTGCTGGCCCCGGGGACTACCCTCGGCAAGTTCTGCCCAGGACCCATCAGGGGGGTCCCACCGGCTGGCAGGCAGGCCTCACCAGCAAGCGCACCTGCTCTGGCTTGCCCAGACGACCGCCAGTGGACTCAGTCAGCAGGCTGTCACCTCCAGGCCTGTCCCCCAGCCGGGCCAAGCGGCGGGAGCCTCCCCAACCGGCCTTCATCCCTCCCTGCTCACCAGCTCCCACCCCTCACCCACCCCAGCAGTGTCCACCTAACTCAGGAACAGCTGCTGAAGTACCCAGAACGTCGAAGAGGTCTGCAAACCACCTCCCTGGCTCCTTGGGGCATGATGGTCACTTTGCTGGGTCGTCCTGGCATACGACAGCCTCAAAGGTGGCCAGGAAGAGGGGGCTGGCTTCTGAATTCCCAGTGTCCCGCCCTCTCCACCCCTGCATGTCCAATGCACAGACTAGAATGCTTACCCACAGGAGGGGATGGCCTGAGCAACATCTTGTCCTTTCCTGCACTGTTTGTGACATATTTTGGAAGAGGTCCAGGGTCTGAGTTTAGATGAAATGGAATGCTGGGAAACTCACTTTCACAACGATGCTGAGGGAGAGAAAGGGTTCACAGGAAACACCCTGAAGTGGAATAAGGGGAAGGAATGTGGTCAAGGCCCTACAGAGCGGTGTCCTCACCAGCCTGTCCACAGTCTGAAATTCCACCATTAGTGATTCATTCCTCTGGCTAGTACCGCTGACACACCTAGAAGGAGGTCACCTTCATTATCAGAGGTTGGTTCCCACGTGGACCACTAAGAGAGCTATGAGGATACGAGGCTGGGAGTTTAATTCGTTATCCTACTGAACCTTCAAGCAACGCTGCAAAGTGCCGCCTTACTATACCCATTTTATAGCTGAGGACACTGAGGCACAGAGAGGTTAAGGAACTGGCCCAAGCCCTTACTAACCCAAGATGCCACATTTGATGTCAGACCCAGCAGGACACAGTGCTTCTCTCAAAGAGCTCCTGGGTCGGGGAGCAGGTGCAAGGACCAGGGTGACAAAGGACAGAGATCAAAGCTGTGGTGCAGGTGAGCACGGGGGGGTGTTGGGAAGCAGGCGGGAGCCCCCCAGGTCAGAGGAAGGCCGGAAGTCCCTCGATACTGACGCCCGAGCAGGGCTTTGAAGGAGGAGTGGGGATGAGACGGGTGGATGGAGGGGTGAACCCGCGCCTCAAAAGGTGTGGGGCACGAAGGGGCAGGCTGCCTCGGGGGGGGGGGGGGGGGGGGGAATGATGCAAGACCAAAACGGCAGGAGGAGGGGGCAGGAAATGAAGGTATCACATAAAGAGCTCAGCTGCAGAGCCACTGAGGTCCCAGGTCCCAGGCACCCAGGCCTGGTCCCGTAACGGGGCTTTGGCTGTGACAGGACTTTCATGTCAGCTTGGCACGGCGCTGGGGCCTTGCTTTGGGAGGTTTCCTGATGGGCTTCCCAGAGCTAACGCGAGCCCCTCCCCCTGCCTCAGGCCCAGGCAGAGATCACAGCACTGCGTCCCTGCCCCGATTCAGGGAAGAGCGCCTCCCCAGGGCCCCGCCCCCACAAAGCTTCCTCTCCTCATCCCCAACCTCCTGACCCCAACTGATGGCGAGCAGACCAGATGAAGGCAGCTTCCAGAGGCTGGGAGTGCCAGCGGAGACACACAGACATGCACGCGTGTGTGCACACCCGCACACACCCACGCACAGGCCCGAGAGGAAAAAAATCCCCAAAGCATCTGCTGGCTCAGAACCCGCCTATCTCAGGAATGTGTTGGATGATTTAAAACTGGCTTCGGTACATGGGGATTCCAGATGCTGGGACCCTGAAGTATCCTGGAATGTACTAGAACGAAGCATAAGGCATCCTGTCTTTTTGCCCACCCAACTCTGGTTGGGAGTCGCAGACTGAGGCCTGTCTACCTTGAGACAGGTTTGATCCAGAGATTCTGAGATTCCCATTCAGATCGGGGGCTGGGCCTGGATCCCCTCCCGAGTAAATGTCCACGTGCCAGGTCAGAGCGGCCAGCCCAGCCCCTGGAGGAGGCTGTGAGGACAGGTCCCTGGAGGCCTTGACATTGAGCTGCTGGGGGCTTCAGAGGTGGGAGTATCCCAACACCGGAGACACTCTGCCCAGATCCCTATGGAACCTTCCCTCTGGGGCTCATGGGAGGAGCCTCTCAGGGCCACTGATTGGCAACAAGCAAGAATCACCGAATGTTGGCATCACAAGCCCTAAACGTGGAGCAGGCCGGCAAGTTCCAGGACCGCCGCCCCGCCCCCCCCCCCCCCCAACCAACGAATGGCTGATAACTTCTCTGGGTTTGTCAGCATAAGAAGACAACGTCTGCCCTGAGGTTCTCTGCACCGAGAGCCAGCTACAGTGGAGCACAAGGTCAGGTATGCTCAGGTTGCCTGCCTTAGTTTCCCCTTACTGCCCCCAGACCGCCCACTCCAGGGGCTTCCCCGAAAGGGACAAGGGAGAAGGAGTACAGGAGGTAAGCACGCTCCCCCCCCCTGGAGACAGACATTTAACTGGTCTGGCCACGACCCCAGTGCAGAGCACGCCAGGCAAGAAAGGCTAAGAGGCGCCATCATGAGTGCTGAGCTGCCCTGAGCACCGCCTGGAGGAGAATTCTGATGCCGCACCATGCTGCAGTTGATTGGTAATGTCTGCTGTGGTCACAGGTATTCACCATCCCTGATCTAAAGCTGGGTGACTCCCTGAACAGGGCGCGATTCCCCAGCCAGGACTTTGGTAGCAGAGGAGGCCCTGGCCGGCCGGGTACAAACAACCCACTGACTCCCTAACAGATTTCTGAGGACCTTAAGGAGCACACATTGGCCCAGGGTCCCCCCCAGTTTGCCAGGACAATGTCTGCTCCCTTTTCTGAAGACATTAATGTTGTCTGTATTAGGAAACGCTTGCCTAGAATAGAAACACATTACAGGGTTAACTTCTCCTCTGTAAATATGACTAAATGTGTTCTTTCTCACCTGGGACCCTAAGGACGTTCCGGCTGTTACCAACCAGAAGCAGCCTCAGACCCATCAAAAGCTCTGCCCGTGGACACGCAGACGGGCCTGGGCGCTGTGCTCTGGACCAACGTTCACAGAAACACTTCCCATGATGCTCTGCCCCATGCAGTCTGGGCCACCTCATTTGGACACCTTGGTCTGCAGGGTGCTGGGCAGATAGAGGTACCTCCAGATGGCATAGTAGTGGGTGCCAGCACCAAATGCCACAAAGAGATGCCAGATGGCGTGGGCAAAGGGGATCCTCCCGTCACTCTTGAAGAACACCATGCCCAAGCAGTAGAAGACCCCTCCGGTCATCAGCTCCCAAATGCCCTCGGTGTTGGGCTGTCGGCAAGAACAAGGGTGGGGTGCAGGTCAGAAGAGCAGGCAGCAGGGCCGGGAGCACCCCACCATCCCCCCTCCCACCCAACGAAAAGAGACGTGCATGGTGAGCCTCCCCAGATTCCCGGGAAGGGTGTCCCCACATGTGCTGTCAATTCCCCCCAGATTAATTCTCAAATGTCACTCGGTTCTATCAAAATCCCAAAGAATATTCTACCGTCTATCTTTTCTAAAAATTAACACATCTGGGTATACACCCAAAAGAAGTGAAGGCAAGGACTTGAATAGATACGTGTACAGCCAGGTTCACAACAGGCAAAGCGTGGAAGCAACCACACGTCCATCCACGGATGAATGGATAAATGAACCACTGTTCTTGTCAGTTCACGCAATGGACTATCTCACTCCGAGCTAACAAGGAAGGAAACTCTGACAGCTGCTACCGCATGGATGAACCTGGGGGACGTGATGCCGAGTGGCATAAGCCAGACACAGAAGGACGAACACCGCAGGATGCCATGCATATAAGGTCCCAGGACTTCATCAAATGCATGGAGGCAAGAAGTAGAATGGAGGTGACCAGGGGCTGGGGGAGGAGGAACAGGGAGTCAGTGTCTAACGGGGACAGAGGTTCAGTTAGGGAAGATGAGAAGGTTCTGGACATGGACGGTGGCGACAGATCCACAATAACGTGAATGTGCTTAACGCCACTGAACTGTATACTTAAAACGGCTAACATCATAAATTTTATGTATATTTTATCACAATTTTTTTAAAAGTAATACATGTCCATGGTGAAACATTTTAGAGAAATCAAACCAAAAATACGAAGAGAAAAGTAGTGAAGGCACCTGGACGGCTTAGTGGGTTAAGCGTCTGACTCTTGATTTCGGCTCGGGTCATAATCTCACGGTCCATGGGATCGAGCCCCGTGCCGGGCTCTGCACGGACAGCACGGGGCCTGCTTGGGATTCTGTCTCCCTCTCTCTCTCCGCCCCTCCCCCACTAGTGAGCGTGCTCTCTCTCTCGCTCTCTCAAAATAAATAAACTGAAAAAGAAAAGTAGCAGTCCCAGCCTTCAGAGATGAGCACTATTAACAATGGAGTCGTTCGTGGTTAAAGGAACAGCAGAGACTGCGTGAGAACTTGCCACGCCACCCCCCACACCCCTGGGTCCACTGTTACACGCATTACAGGCTACCGCTGTTAACAGTGCTTTACGGTATCCTTCCGGAAACGTTCTCTCCACGTGCAATACGCAACATGCACTTCATACGTATGTACTATGCACAGGAACGGATCTTTCTCGATCATTCCAGATAAACGGGCTCACGCCATCCCCACCATGCTGTGACTCCATGCTGGATTCACTCCTCTGCTGGGGATGGGTCTGCATTTCCACAGCGGGAGCCATCTCCATTCTTTTCAGCCGCTGCGGAGCATCCCGGGGGATGCAAGTCCGCCAACGTACGTGCTCAGTCCTCGAGAGTGTGGTGCCTCCCAGTACTTGCCACGTGCGGGGCACTGCATGAACGGCCTCGGTGGGTTATCTGACGCCACCTTCACAACGTCCTCATGAGGCGGGTGTCACTCTATATGGCGGTCATGGAAACACGCCCACGACACGTGGTAAGCGAGCAAAGCACACTGCAGAGCAGTACATTTCGTGTCACCTCGTCTTTTTAGAAGAAAGCCAAGTCAGCGTGTCTGCAAAGCCACGTGGACTTGCATGTAAATAAACAGAAAGGACACACAGCAACCAGAATGGGGGTTGCAGCTGGGGCGGGATATTGGGAGAAGGCAGAAGGCGGCTTTGGCTCGTCCACATACTTTCGGACTCATTTTTTGCAGTGACTATGTGTTTAAATATATACTTACCAATATACAAGTATATAAGTACTTAAATGTATGCAAATATACATGTACTTAAATATGCAATACATAAGTTGACGGATACTGTATAATTTAATATTTATTCGTCATTCATAAAATTTAAAACATTTTTAATAAATTTAAATGAGTCTAAAAATTTGAAAATATGTATTTAATATACATTATATCATGTAATATTTAATATATTTCATAAAATTTGTAAGAATTTGAAAATAAATTCAAATACAATTTTTTAACTTTTTGATTTTGAAAATACTTATCGAATATAAATTATACAATGCAATCTAATAAAATTCATTAAAATTTTGAAAGAAATTTAGTAGCTTTAAATTAAAAAACATTTCATAGAAATTATAAAAATGCAATGTTTAATATACTTCATAAATTTTTAAAAATTTTAAAAAGTAAATTTAAACTTTTCTTTATTTTTTTAATATAATTCATTGTCAAGTTAGCTGACATACAGTGTATACGTGAGCACGCTCTTGGCTTCAGGAATAGATTCTCACGATTCATTGCTTACATACAACAAACACCCAATGCTCATCCCGACGCGTGCCCTCCTCAATGCCCATCACCCATTTTTTAAACATAAATTTAAATTTCTTTAATTCAAAAACTTTTTTGGTAATATAAATTATACAGTGTAATATCTAGTTTAATATAATTCATACCTTTTTTTTAACTTTTATTTATTTTGAGAGAGAGAGAGCATGAGCAGGGGAACAGCAGACAGAAGGAGAAGAGAGAATCCCAAGCAGGCTCTGTGCTGACAGCCTCAGATGCAGGGCTCAAACTCACAGACCAGGAGATCATGACCCGAGCCTAAATCAAGAGTCGGACTGAGCCACCCAGTCACCCCTAATTCATAAAATTTTTTAAATAAGTTTAAATATTAAAAATTTTTTTTATTTTAAAATATTTAATATAAAATACACAGTGTAATACTTAATATACCTCATAAGATTTTTAAAAATTTAAGAATACATTTAAAGTACGTTTAAGATTTTTAAAACTTTAAAAATATTTATTTAATATAAATTATATAGTGTAATATTTAATACACTTCATAAACTTTTTTAAATTTAAAAAGCAATTTAAATAATTTAACTTTAGAAACTTAAAAATATTTAATATGAATTACATAATTTAATATTTAATAGATAACTTAAATATACGTACTTAAATGAAAATAAACTTGGAGGGGGGGAAAAAGCAACCTGTAAGAATAAATACAAATCATCGGGAAAATGCTGAGCAGGAGGACTAATGGGGCCACGGATTAAAACGCAATTAAGCTACACTAAGTAAAATGGTCTGGTGCCAGGATAGAGACAGTCCCCTTGATGAAACAGAATTGAAATCTCGGAAGCAGACGCACATATATGCATGAATTTAACAGCTTCACACAGCGGTTTTCAACGGCAGATAACGGACATCACTGGCTAAGTATTCGGGGAGGAATCGCCACGTACGGGAGAAACAAGAGTTAGAAGAAAAGTTACCTATTAAAGGTTAAACCACAAAAGAAACAGGAGAAAATACGGGTGACTGTTATCCCTCAACTTGGGGAAAGGAAGACCTTCCTAACCATAACGCTTAGGATAAAACCCATACAATTTAAAAAACAAACCAACCAACCTGTGAGATTTCACTGAATATCCTTTTGACATCAACCAACAATAACAGTATAAAAATAAACTGTTACTTGGCCTAGGGAGGGTACCGGGCAGGCTGCAGTTACTGTGCCCACCTCACAGATGGGGCAACTGAGGGTCAGGGAGGAGACAGGGTCCATGCACGGCCACCAGCTTCTTCTCTTCCTGGGCGGGGGCCTCAGTCCTCTCCCTGCAAGGCTCTGCCCCTCACAGGCTGGGCAAAGCTACCCGGAGATCCTATGCCCCACAGTCTGAGGTTATGGGGGTACACCCTGGCCTGGCCACTCAGGGGCCACAAAAGCGCTGCCGGCTGCATCCCCTCTCGGTGTCCCATCTCCAGTGACGCCCGGGGCAAGGACGCTGGATCCTGTGGGTACGCCTCCCGCGCTCCATATGGGCTCAGAAAGCGTGCAGTGAGGGAACCTGGTTGCCCTTTCTGGGCTTGGTTTGGGAGCTTAGGATGTGGCAACACCAAAGGGGGTAATCATTAAGTCCTGAACCTCGGCTCTGCCTCCGTGCCCAGGGATGTTATTATACAGATTTAATTTAGCAACTGGGTACTACGTCCCACGCACCATTCTAATCCCTCTCCGTGGGATTTAATCCTTAAACACACAGCAGGGGTGAAGCGTGGAGGGTCACAGCTCACTGGAGGTTGGGCAGAGTCGGTGCTGCAGAGCCGAGGAGTCGAGCCCCCCCCCACCCCAGGATTAAGCCGCATGCTCTACGGCCCCTCTAGACGTCACTCTGCCCATGTGCCAGAGGAGGGGCTCCGACTGGACAACCCCGAGAGTCACCCCGGGTCCCTCCGGCCAGCCGGGAGCCCCCAGGCCGGGTGGGTGGTACTTACCATTGAGAGGATGACCAGGGCGGGGAAGAAGCCCATGATAACATAGCAGAGCAGCTCCACGAGCTTGTACCTGGCGGGAAGACAAGCCATCTGGGCCTCGGGACAGCGTAAGGCTCCCCGTGCTGGGTAGGAGGGGCCCCTGACCGAGTGAGGAGGACTCCACCCTCTGCCCAGCACTCCTCGGCTCAGATGCCACCCAGCTACACGCAGCAGGTGCTGGCGGAACTGGGTGGTCCTGGTTTCCGCCCTCGCGAGGACAGGCCAGGATTGCCAATGCTGAGTGTGGCACGCGTGTGGGCGCTTGCCACGCTCCAGCCCGGACGGTCATTACCATGTCATCTGAGCACCTCCTCCCGCTGGGCCCAAGCAGCCGCCTTCCATCCACCCGAGTGGCCACATCGAC